TTTTTTTTTTTTTTTTTTTTTTTTTTTTTTTTAAGGAAAAATGTTAAGAAGTGAAGCCAAGAGCGAGTATGAAGAGGAAGTCAACAAAAAATATTCAAAGTCCAGTTTATCCTTCCTTGGCTGTCTTGCCAAAAGTCATATTGGCCTAAGAAGTGGCACATACTAAAGCGTGCTTTGTGGGTAAATGGAATTGTGTTCATGACTCAGGAGGTGTGTTGTGAAGTCATCTTTAAAGAAAGTTGAAGTGTTTTTTCTGTTTGAAAAGTGTATAAAAAGATACTCTTCTTGAATGACTTGAGAACTGAGTGGATGAGGTTTTCTAGGAATCCCCCTGAAGGAGTTAATATACGTGCTTGCAGAGCCTTCTCTGTCTCCAGTTGGTGTGGAAGGCTCTGCCACTACTGTCTGTTTAGGTCTTGAGACTGATTCACTGACTCCCACAGTTCCACGTTGGTGTGGATATGGGAACCAGGAGCGACCTATACCCAACCAGGAGTTAAGTATCCAAAATCCCCTCCTTCAGGCAGGCAGCCTTCTGTGAGTGTGGACCGATGGGGGTTGGAATTGTCATTAAATATGATATTGAGGCCTCCTATATCCACGTATCTTCAAATAGAGTGTGCAGCACAGCATGGAGGCAACCCTATCTCCTACCCTGGCAGCAGCTTTCTAGGAGCCCCACAAGAAAGCTAAGGATAGAAAATGTAATGGAGCCAGGCCCCTTTCTGACTGATGTGCTCCCCAGTACCAGATGGTTGAGGAACACGTCAAAGTCATCAGATTGCTTGTGCCAAAGATCCCAGGTTTGGTTAGCCTTTGCTGAAGCATCCAGTGTCTAATGTGTGTTCTTAAACAAAAGCAGTTTTTAATGGCCAAGTACAGAAAATAAAGAACAAGCCATACAAACAAGGCTCCTACACTATTGTCATTGCACAGAACTTGCCTGAGAAAGTGTAGTGACCTGCCTGAATTGAGAGCAGCATTCTTCAGTCTCCTGTGTAGAGACATCACACCCTCAAGTAACCTGTTAAGTTTGAAATGAGCATGAATTATGCATGAATCCACTGGTTTGCATGGCTTGCGGTGCTTGTTGACTGGCTTTTATGGAGGCACCCTGTGGACAGGAGGAAGCAACAGCTGTGATGTATCTTCATTTTTAGTAAGGCTTCTGATGCCATTTCCCACAACCTTCTCATATAAATAAGCTAAAGAACGGTGGTGTAGATAAAAGTACTATAATGTGCGTGCATAACTGGTCGGATTATAGAGCTCAGTGCCAAATTGTGAGGGGGCAGAGTTCCCTAGGGGTCTATCCTGATTGTGAGAGAGGTTGTGGAGTCTCAGTCACTGGACGTTTTAGTTGCAGGTTAGGCAGATATCTTGTTTGGAGTGGTTTAGGCAGGAATGATGTTGTCTTGAGCAGGAACCTGGCCTGCATGACTTCTCAAGGTTTCTTCCAGCACTGTATATTCCTGACCGTACAGCAGTGTGGTTCTGGTAGATGGGCCGAGGCATAATCTGCCTGTCAAGCTGATCTGCTAGTGAGTATGTGATCAGATCCTGAAGTGAATTTGTTCCCTTCTGTTTTCTACAGGAGTGGGGGACCAGTTGCCCACATGCTTTTCTTGGTGCCTACAAGCTTCAGCATGACATGTCCTGGACTCCATCTGAGAACATTGAAAGACGAGATGCTGAAATTGGCATCATTGATAAGCTGCTGAGCCAGCAGGCAGCACTGCCTCAGTGTGCAGAGCCCAATTTCCAAGGCCTCATCAAGTGAAGCAGGCTGGCAGTAATCGTGGAGGAGACGTGAACAGCTGAAGTAGCTAGCACTGCAAAAAAGAGTTTCAGGAATAGACCAAGAATCAAAAAATGGTGATTCTGCTCATTTCAGCTACTACTAATTCATTTTACCTTGAAAAGTTTGAACGCAAAGTTTTGTTTTTTTTTCAGTCCCACCCAAACATCCAGTAATGTGTAGCTTTGGCTTATGGCTATATAGGGCCAAAAAAACCCTACTGTCTTTTTCACTAGGCTCTTTTTTCTGTGATAACATGAAAAAGAGGTGATGTTGCTTCCCTGATGGTCTAGGAGATGCACGAGAGGCAAGAATTTGTGTATGATATCCCTTATTGGGCCGACTGTATGGTTGGGTACAGATATAGATCAATGTTCAGGTATCACAGGGCTGAAAGAGCATACTGTAATACCCAAAAGCTTCCCTATACTTTTATCAAGCATACAGTTGGTTCAAGTAAAAGGTATCACCCACAAGAACGTAAAAAAGAGGTATTCCTTCTCCCCAAAGGAGTCTTCAGATATGTATCAACCAAAAGACTAAAAAGAAAATCTTGTTTCTCAATCACCAGTTTTGTAACTCTGCCGTTTGTATCAGAATTGCACAGCTTAATGTTCACCCTGCCCTTTTCTGCAGCTGCTAAGGACTCTAATTGTGAATCAGTCTCGCTGCAGTGATCTCTTTCACTGACGTTCACTCTATTCCAGTGAACGGAATCGCTCCAGTATCAATCCAAGTAAATCCTTATGTGCTCCCTTTTAGAATATCCTTCTGTTATCAGGTTCCCCTTGGATATAGGGGGAGTAAGAAATAGGATCCACCCAGGGGGTGTGTTGTGTGTCTGCCTGTCTGTCAGCTGTGCTGCCACCGGTGAGGAAAGAGGTCCATTCTAGCTAGCTCTGGTTTATACAGTGTAGTACCATCTAGTACAATGGGGCTTTGAGATCCGTTTAAGGGTACTATGGGGTGCTGAGCAATATTAACACTGTTGGGTGTGCAAACATCTATACACCATTTGCAAGAAAAACCCAGAGATTTCAAAGACGAATCTATAGCATTAAAAACACTCTGCCCTGTTGTGGTCTTTCTGAGTTCTTTTCAACAGAAGAATTGTTCTTTTATTCTTCCATAGTCCAAAAAAGCAGCGAAAGGTAATAACTGGCATTTTCTAAGGGGTGCCTTGGTGCCTGTGCACAGGTAACAGGGGTTCTTCCGTTTGAGGGCAGGTCCTGGGATCCAACAAACCCCGGCCTTGGGAGTTCTCAGCCACACGGGTTTTGAGTTGCAGGGGAACTGAGGGAGGCTGTGGCCTCCCTGCGTCTAGTGCCATAACATGGGAGAACAGGAAAATACCTGGCACCTGCTCAGCTCCAGTGGATGCTATTACTCCGTAAGACTCCACCAGTGTTTGTGTGAGGCAGAGGTGTACCTACAATGTCATCCCTTCCCTCTGCAACTTGATAGGGAATCACAGTTACTGTAGTGGGGGGGTGTCAGACTTGTCTTGGGTTCTGGACCATGGGGGCTCCTTCCAGGCCGGATCCAGCCCAGGGCATAGTGGCTACAGCCGTGGCAGCTGCTCGCATGGTGGCAGAGATATAACAAGGCAGCTGGTGCCCAGTGTCCTGTCAGCGTATGAGAATAAAAGCATTTTCCTACTTCACAGGTGGATGTGAGAACATTAAGGACAGTGAGGTACTCTGATGCTATGAGAATGGGGACTAGGTAAGTGTAATAGCCTGCAATAGACCAGTGATTCTCAGCCAGACAAAAGTCTTTAGACCAGTGATTCTGGGGTGCCTTGAGATCATGGGGTGCTAGGCAATGCTAGTAGTGATTTGAAACAGGAATCCATAGGATTAAAACTGTTCTGCCCTGCTGCGGGCTTTCTGAGTTCTTTGCAACAGAAGAATTGCTCTAGTGTTTTTCTGTCATCAGAAAACAAGTGAAAGTTCAGAGCTGGCATTTCTGAGGGGTGCCTCGAGTCTAGCAAAAGGGTGCCTTAAGTCTAGCAGGGCTTGAGTAGTGCTGCTCTAGACTTAATTGACAGTAGACACTAAACATGTAACTGAAAGCCCCATAAGTACGTATTTGGCTGATCTTCCCTACGTGGATCCTCAGCCTGTGTGTTTCTAGTCTACCCCTTTGCTTTCTCCCTCCTTCCCCACCCCCTTCCCCTTGTACTCTCAGTGGCAAGAAGAACAGTGGCAGCAGAGCAGCTGGAGGTTTGGTGCTGCTGGGGGGAAATAAGCACCCCTTTTTATTTTTTTGCCACAGAGACTTGTATTTAGTGGCCAAAGAAACCCTCCACGGTTTCTGGCAGGAAAAAATGAGATGACATCACCCTATAACAGGAACTACATTTCCCAGATTGCCCTTTACTGATGCGTGCTCTTGTGCTGCTGCTGCTGCTGCTGCATCTTCCCCTGCCAGAGCTGGAGACAAGGGGAAGGGAAGGGAGGGAGGTTGTGGCTCCCGCCCACACTTTTGGCAATGCCCACCCAGCCCTTGCAGGAGAGACAGGAAATTGGCATCTCTGGGCTCTCCTTCCTGAGGCTGTCTGCAAAGTACCAAAAAAAGTCCCCATTTTAAAATGAACAGTTATTGGGCTGTCACTTGTAATTAGGGAGTGGAACAAGGCAGTGTTAGCAATCTACTGACATTGCCAGCACACTCTGTTGACTCCTAGGGAAAGAGGACCCCTCCCAGTCATTTTAGTCTTGGTGAATGTGCAGTGGGCTGTTTTCTAGAAAAGTGGCCTCCATCTACACTTGGTCCATCTCTGTATTTGAAGGAGGAACATGTTCTAAGCTACGTATATTTGAGGGATCAGGGCCCTGCTAATTTCAGCCCTATTTCTGTTGCAAGAGCAGCTCTGCTTTCCCCTGGCCTTATAGTTAATGCAGCACAATGCACTCTCAACACATTCCTGATGCTTCATGTCCGCTGCAGGGTTAGCTTGGAGCTTTTATACCCGCTTTGTGATTGCTAGAGAGGTTCCTGTATACAGGAAGTCCTGAGGGTCCTGTTCTTCCCTTTTTATTGCTAGGGTGGCATAAAATGACCTTAAATGATTAGGCCCCATGTGTTCAAACTGCAGCTCTTCCAGTGCTCAGTATTAATAACATTGACCAAAAGCCAAGATCTATTCCTATCCTCAGAGGCAGCAAGTATCACTTACTCCCTCCCCCTTTTGCAAACAAGAAACAAGGACACTTGTAACAGTGATAAACACTCAGTTACAGTCCCCTCGCATATCCCTTCAAAGGCTGTAGTGTTGAAAGCCCAGCGACACAGTCGTAAGCATTAGAAAGCCAGGAAGTGCACAGCTCTGGTAATAGTTCGCAAACAACTTGGTGTCTATAGACATGCCGCACACAAGACGCGTGGTAGCCCTGTCTGCAGTGATGTTGGAAGAACAGGGTGGCACTTTGCATCATGCCAGAGGTGTCAGGCCCAAAACTCGGGGGATTATTTTGGAGAAATGGGGTATTTTGTTTAATGGGGGCAGACTTCAAATTTCCTGACTCTATTGTGTGCAAAGTACTACTTTAAACATTGACTTCCTGTTTTCGCAGAGTTGTGGTGAGGGCTCTTCAGCCTCAATATTGTGCGTGGGACGAGGGAGCGTCGCTGGTTTTGAAGTCTCAGTTCAGGGTTTTGAAATCTCATGTTCTGCAACAGTACAGGGATCTGGAGGAACTACTGAGCAGCATAAACTCCACTTCAGTGGAACATTTTGAGACTGGATAATTGCAGCTCCAAAAAATCTATGAAAAACAGGAGCAGAAAAACATGGCTGGAAAGGCCCTTAGGAGGTCATGTAGTCCAGCTCCCCGTTCAAGGCGCGGTCACCTTTTTGTGAGCCATCCCAAATGTTTGTCTGATTTGCCCTTAAAATCTTCCAGTGCTGGCAATTCTCCAAACTCTCTGAGCAATGTGTTTCAGTATTCAACCCCTGTCATAGGTAGGGGAAGTTCTTTGTAAAATCTAACCTTATTGCCCCTTGTTGCATTTTTAGTTCATTACTGCTTCTCCTGTCCCCCTGCCCATGAACACAGACAACAATTGACTGCCATCCTCTATAACAATCCTTTCTATATTTGAAGGTTATTATCAAATGCCCTCTCTGTCTTATCTTTTTCAAAGTAAATAATCCCAATTCTTCCAGTCTTTTTTCAGATGTCATGTTTGCTAGACCTCTAATCATTTTATTGGTTTTCTATGGTCTCTGTCCAGTTTGTTCAATTAGCTCTTGAAGGGCAGTGCCCCAAACTGGAGAAAGTACTACAGGTGAGGCTTCCTCTGCACTGAATAGGGTGGAAGAAGTATTTCCTGTGACTTGAATCTCACAATCGTATTAATGCACCCAAAATGCTGCTAGCTTTTTGTGCAATGATATTGCAGTGTTGAGTCACTTGCTTGCCATCTGCTATAGCTTCCAGGTCCTTTTCACAATACTGCGGACTAACCAGTAATTCCTCATTTCATATTCGTGAATTTGACTTTTTTTGTTAAGTGTAGCACTTTGTGTGTGTAAGGGTATTGGCCTTGTAAAAGGTTTGTCTGAAAATAACTATGCTGTTCAGAGAAAACTGAGTGGGCAGTTGGGTTAGGAGCAGGGCTCCAAGCTGTTGCCCACTGGGGTTGGTTCTCAGTGAATATCCATCTCCTTTAGTTTATTTATTAATAAATGTAACTTGATCCTGAAAGCTGACTATGGTTCCTCAATTGAACCGCAAACAACACATTTTGCACTTGACCTTACTGAATTTCATCCTGTTTATTTCGGATGGTTTCCCCCAATTTATCAGGGGATCCTAGTCCTTTCTGCTAAACCAGTGGCTCAACCTTTTTTTTAGTGCAGTATGAAGGCACCCCCCCCAAATATTTTGGAGTGGAGTGGCACCCTGATTGAGAACCACTCAATCTAGAATCGAGCTCCGTGGCTCCCAGCCAGCGGGGAGATGGGCACGTAAGTGCAGCCTTGGTCCTTGCCTGGCTGTGTCCCTACCCCCACTTCCCAGCCCCTCAGCAAGGATGTTTTCTTAGTAGTTTTTTAAAATGCGTGCTGCTCCGTGGGCAACGTTTATGGAGATGGCCTTGAGTCTAGACTGGTTGAGCACCCCTGACGTGAGGGCCCGAGTGAGGGGGCCCGATCCCACCCTGCGCTCCAGGATTGGGCCCGCCGGCCTGGATTGGGTCTGCAGGGTCTCGCCTGGTCCCTGCACACTGGGAGTGGGGCCTGAGATCCCGCAGGCCGGGCCTGGGCCCTCTCCCCGTGCTGAGAGCGGGGCTGGCGCCAGCCGCGGCCAAGGGCAGCCGTCCCCGAGGACCGTCCGGTTGTCCTCTAGCGCTAGGAAACCAGACACGTTGGTGTGCTGGGGAGAAGAGCTGGGGCACAGCGGGTCGCATTTTGTATCGCTGGGGGACGAGAAGCCCAGCCTCCCCTCTCGGTCGGGCGGGGGCGATGCGGACGCGCTCGCCCCCCACGTGCCCGCGCACGACAGACGGAAGCGCCCAAGCCCCGCCCCGCGCCGTGCGCGGTGACGTCAGGCCCCTGCTCGGAGGCGAGGAGACCCCGCAGAGCTGCCAACGCCCGGTGCGGACGAGGTGGGTGAGTGCGGTGGGGCCGGGCCGGGTTGGGGCCGGGACC